AGCATACATGCGTTCCCAGTCTGAGGTGTCTACGTCCTTAGGGACACATCCGGTGCAGAGACACAGCATCAACGCGCTGGGCAGCCGCCCAAACAAAACATTTCGCTTCTGGTAGCTGCACATACACCCCAAACAGCAGCAGCAGCAGCAGCAACAGCAGCAGCAGCAAGTAGAGGAGACAACAGATTGAGGAGACAATGAGCCAAGGAGACAAGAAGCTAACAGGAGACACCCAGATGGGGGGGTAAAAGAGGCAGAGGAGAGACAGACAACGAACAGGAGACAGCAAGTCAAGGAGACAGCAGAATGATAAGACAACAAAATAAAGAGACAGCCAAATGAGGAGACAGAGATAGAAGGAGACAGCAAGCTGAGGAGACACAGCGAGAAGGAGACAGCAAGCTGAAGAGACACAGAGAAGTGGAGACAGTAAGCTGAGGAGACAGATATAAAAGGAGACAGCAAGCTGAGGGGAGACAGAGAAAAGGAGACAGTACGCTGAGGAGACAGGAGACAGATAGAAAAGGAGACAGCAAGCTGAAGAGACACAGACAAATGAAGACAGCAAGCTGAGGAGACACAAGTAGAGGAGACAGAGGGGGTAAGAGACAGGAGGCTGAGGAGACAGATCGGGGAGGAGACAGAGGGGCTAAGAGACAGCAGGCTGAGGAGACAGAGGGTGAAGGAGACAGCGCGATGTGCTACCAGAAGTCTGCAGGAGGGGGTTCGTCGTCAACATCATTAATTGCAGCAATCGGCAGAGCCTCCTGTCCCTGGGAGATGTCTGTCCAGGGACTCCAATCGGAAGGCAAAGGCGATCCCAGCTCCAGGGAGGAGACGATCCCACATGTTGCGCTCTGCAGCAAACAAAGGGCAACACACGTCTTCTTGCTGCTCCTGGTGCTGCTAATGCTGCTGCTGCTTCTCCTGCTGCTGCTGCTGTTGCTGCTACTCATGCTCGTCATGCTGCTCATGTTGGTGGTGTGCCTTCTGCTATTCCTGTTGCTGCTGCTGCTGCTGCTGCTGCAACTTTGCCGCTGCTGCTCCTGTTGATGCTGCACATGCTGCTAGTCCTGTTTCTGCTGCTGCTGCTGCTGCTGCTGTTTCTGCTGCTGGTGCTGTGATATACGGTGCTGCCTGTTGTGTTTGGCGTTTATAAGAGTAAGAATATGTGCTGCAGTTGGGGTGTATGTACACCTGAGGCAAGTAGCAATGAGCAAACTGGAGTGCATGCGCTCGGCTAACAATCAGTCGTGTCTCCTTTCTCCGCCAGCGAAGGAGACGGTGGCCGCTGCTGCTGCTGCGGGGGGCCCTTGCAATGCGCTGCAGCAGTCTCTCCAGGTTCTCCTGTGGGGCAGCAGCCTTCACTTTGTTGTTGTTGCTGCTGCTGTTGTTGTTGATGTTGCTGTTGCTGCTGTCGTTGTGGTTGCTGCTGTTGTTGCTGGTGGTGTTGTCGCTGCCGTTCGTAATGATGATGTTGCTGCTGTTTTCTTTGTTCTTGTTGTTGTTGTTGTTGCTGCTGCTGCTGTTCTTGTTGTTGTTGGTTTCGCCGTTGTAGTCGCTGCCATTGCTGCTGCTGCTGCTGCTGCAGCTGCTGCTGCTGCTGTTCTTAAGGGTGTCTCCTTCTGTGTGTCTCTTTTCTTCCGCCAGCTGCTGCCGACGCCCCCCTCCCTCCCACCCTGCGCCTCCCCAGCGCTGTCCTGCTGCTGCTGCTGCAGTACCTGCTGCTGCTGCTTCCTTCAAATACATATCGACCAGCCGCTGCTTCTCTGCTGAGGAGACAGGAGTTAACTCCAGCTCATAAGACTCCACCCGCAGCACAAGGGGCAAGAACCCACACGTCGCCCACGCAGGATACGATCCCGATCCCGATCCCGATCCCGATCCCGATCCCGTGACCCCACACTTCAGGCAGCGTCTTGCTAGTGCCAATGCATCCGCAATGCTGCACTTAGGGTCGTTCCCGCTGCTGCTGCTGCTGCTGCTGCGACCCCACTTCTGCAGCAGCTCCTCATACACCTGAGGAAGGAGACACGCAGATACCAGCAACACCCAGCAGCAACTGCTATTCCCGCTGCTGCTGCTGTCGTTGCTCCTCCCCCCTCCCACACAACAGCAGCAGCAGCAGCAGCAGCAGCAGTTGCAGCAGTAGCAGCAGCATTACCTGGTATGCTGCAGCAGCAACACTAGCGAGACTAGCAACAGTAAACTGTCCGCCACCCAAAGGGATGAAGGGCGGCACCGTCAATGCAAAGGGACGAGGAAGATCGCTGTACACCTAAACAGCAGCAGCAGCAGCAGCAACAGCAGCAACAACAACAGCAGCAGCAGCACAGTCTCGCCTCGAGTCATCGGAACTGCCCGCAAATCGCCTCTAGAGTGCGCGCAGCAGCAGCAGCAAAAGCAGCAGCGGCAATAACGCAAGCAGCAGTAGTGGCAGTACCATCATTATCAGCATAAGCAGCAGCAGCAGCAGCAGCAGCAGCAAGATACCTCAACAATACGAGTGGTGGTTGCCGGGAGAGACAGTTCATCAGCTGTCTCCATTTGTCTCTGCACCCGCCGGTGGGTTGCAAATTGCTTCTCCGCTAGCTGCCGCATAGGCCTGACGAGCAGCAGCAGCAGCAGCAGCAGCATTAGCAGCAGCATTAGCAGCAGCGGCAGCAGCAGCGTACACGAGGCACAAGCCAACTTGATCCGCTAGCAGCAGCACAAGCGCAGCAGTAGCAAGTCAGAGCGGCAACCGCAGCACTTACAGCAACGGTAGCAGCACAAGCAGCAGCAGCAGCAGCAGCAGCAGCAGCAGCAGCAGCAGCAGCAGCAGCAGCTCACTTGAGTCTTTTGTCTTTATCCCAGAGAGGGTGCTGCATGCTCTCGAAGTTGAAGTCCCTCCATTGCGAGATGGGGGGCTGATAAAATTTTGAGTGTATAGACACCAGAAGGAACTTAAATACACACCGGCCCCTCAGCAGTCTCTCTTCCTGCTTAGCTGGCTTCGTTCCTGCTGCTGCTGGTGCTGCTGCTGTCGCTGCTGTTGCCGCTGCTGCTGCTGCTGCGGCCTCCCGGCTGCGCGCCTTCGATTGGGCGTATGAAAGCATCTCCACGTCCGTCTCCTCTTTATCGGTCTCTCCAGATGCTGCTGCTGCATCTGCTTTAGTTGCTGCTGCTGCTGATTCTGCAGCAGCAGCAGTTGCTGCTGCTGCAGAATCAGCAGCAGCAGCAGCAGCGTCTTGTCTCTTGTCTCCTTCCTCGTAGTCTGAAGAGACGTCAGGGCCGTCTCCATTGATGCTGCTGCTGCACTGGCTGCTGCAGCCTGGCGGGGCCTTCACGCGACCGTTCCCTTTGCCAGCAGCAGCAGCAGCAGCAGCAGCAGCAGCAGATGAGCGCGCCTCCTTACAAAGACCCTCCGGGGGCTCCGCTGTATCGAAGAGCAGCTCCACTACTCGATACAAACCGTCATATCGATACCCAACCTCAGGTGCATATCTGCAGCAGCAGCAGCACAAGCAGCAGCAACAGTAGTAGTAGCAGCATCCCCAGCAGCAGCAGCAGCATGCCCAGCAACAGCAGTAACAGCATCCTCAGCAGCAGCAGCATCCCCATCACTAGTATCGTGCCCATCATCAACATCAGCAGCAGCAACACCACCAGCACCAGCAGCAGCAGCAGCAGCAGCAGCAGCAGCAGCAAGAGTGCGTGTTGCTTACGGTGACCTGGCCTGGTATCCTCTGACGACTCTGACGGGGTATTCATGCTTCCACGCCATCCACAAGGCGGTGTTTCTTTGACTGGAGCCCCCAACCCCTATCAACTGATCCTATTAAGCAGACAGCAGCAGCAGCAAGGAGACAGATTGCAGCAGAAAGGAGACAGATAGCAGCAGAAAGGAGACAGATAGCACCGAGGAGATATAGAACAGCAGCAAGGAGACAAATAGCAGCGAGGAGACAGCAGCAACAGCACAAGGAACATCAAAAACAGCAACAACGACAGCAGTATTAGCAACAGCAGCAGCAGCAGCAGCAGCATCAGCAGCAACAACAGCAGCAACAGCAGCAGCAGGAGATTACTCCGGGGTATACGGATGTGTCTTGGGGGTCGGGGTTCTCTCCGTGTATGATGAACATCGAGCCCTTGTCTTCAAGACGAGCGTCGTTCAGCAGCAAAGAAGTAGCTGTCTCTAAACAGACAAAAGGAGACAAACACAGACAAACAGAGACAAAAGAAGATAAACTAAGATAAAAGGAGATACAAGGAGATAAAAGAAGATAAAGGGAGACAAAAGGAGACACAAGGAGACAAAAAGGGGATAAAAGAAGATAAAAGAAGATAAGAGGAGACAAAAGGAGACAACGAGAGAGAGATACAGATACAGATAGAGACAAAATAAAAGGAGACAGTACAAAAGGAGACAGATTAAAAGGAGACAGATTAAAAGGAGACAGTATAAAAGGAGACAAAATAAAAGGAGACAGTATAAAAGGGGACAGTATAAAATGAGACAAAATAAAAGGAGACAGATTAATAGGAGACAGTATAAAAGGAGACAAAATAAAAGGAGACAGCAAAGAAGACAAGAGGCCTCACGCATTTTGTCTTCGTCTTCACCAATGCAGATTCTGCTGCTGCTGCAGTGGAGGCCTAAAACCCGCAGCTGTCCCAAAGTCAGACACCTGCATATACACCCCACACTGTAGACAAAAGTAATAAGAACAAGGAAACATTAAAAGGAAATAGAAGGAGACAGAAGGAGACAAGAAGAGATAAAAGGAGACAGAAGGCTATACAAGGAGACAGAAGGAGGTATGGAAAGATAAAAGGAGACAAAAGGAGACAAGAAGACAGATAAAAGGATATAAAAATAGATAAAATAAGACAAAAGGAGACAAAAGGAGACAAAAGGAGACAAGAAGACAGATAAAAAAATATAAAAGGAGATAAAATAAGACAAAAGGAGACAAAAGGAGACAAAAGGAGACAAAAGGAGACCAAAGGGGGCAAGATGAGACAAGGAATGATAAAAGGAGACACAAGGAGACAGAAGAAGGTAAAAGGAGACAAGAAGAGAGACACCAAGAGGGACAGGAAGAAAGACAAGAAGAAAGGCAACAAGAGAGACAACAAGAGAGACAAAAGGAGACAACAGGAGACAGGATGAGATAGAATGAAACGAAAGGAGACAAGAAGACGGGGAAAAAGTAAAAAAGGAGACAGAAGGAGACAAAAGGAGGCAAATATACGAATATAAAAGGAGACAAACAAAGACAAACAAAGACAAACAAAGACAAGCAAAGACAAACAAAGACAATAGGAGACAAACGGAGACAATAGGAGACAAAAGGAGACAAAAGGAGACAAAAGGAGACAGATAAAAGAATATAAGAGGAGACAAACAAAGACAAACAAAGACAAACAAAGACAAGCAAAGACAAACAAAGA